GGGGTTGGGGGGCCGCGCGCTGCGGGGGGCGAGGCTGGGACCAGTCTCACGAGGCTGCTTCTCTTCCCCGCCAGGGTCTCTCTGCTGCCTCAAGACGGGCGTTAAGGATGGGCCGAGCAAAGGGAAAAGCTTCTACGTGTGCGGGGTCCAGGAGCAGGCGCGCTGCGGATTCACCCTCCCTGTACAGTAGGTTCAGGGGTGGGGATGTTCCTGATCTGCGCCTAGCTCCCCATGCCCAGTTCTGCCCTTCCCTGCTGCTTCTCTTCCCCGCCAGGGTCTCTCTGCTGCCTCAAGACGGGCGTTAAGGATGGGCCGAGCAAAGGGAAAAGCTTCTACGTGTGCGGGGTCCAGGAGCAGGCGCGCTGCGGATTCACCCTCCCTGTACAGTAGGTTCAGGGGTGGGGATGTTCCTGATCTGCGCCTAGCTCCCCATGCCCAGTTCTGCCCTTCCCTGGGTCGCAGGCTTCAGATTGAAGCAACTCTGCTGCCTGTGTGTCTCTGGGCTCCTCTAGGCCATGCAGAAGATTGGAAAGAGGATATGCAAATTCTGCGGGAAGGGTCTGTCTAGACTGCATCCCTCTTTCCGCAGAGGGATGTAAATTAGACACTTTGAAATTGCAAATGAAGCCGGGATTTGAATTTATTTCCCGTGCTCCGTTTGCACAGTTGCGTCATGGCGCTCTTTCGAGAAAGCGCTGTTTTGAAATTGCACCCACAGTGGCAGTTCTTTCGAAAATAGAAGCCTTTTTTCGAAAGATCCTGTAAACCTGAGGATCTTTACAGGATCTTTCGGAAAAGGCTTCTGTTTTTGAAAGAACTGCATCTAGACTGCAGTTTAAATTTCAAAATAGCACTTTTTTGAAAGAGCATCATCAATTCACAGACACTTACCTTCCTTCCTCCCCCTCCCCCACCCCGCATCTCCCTTCTGTTCTGCAATGTGATTTGTCCTTTTCATATTTGTTCTTTTTTTTAATTGTATCCTTTGGTATATATGGTTGTGACTATTTTCTTCCACTATTTGATCTGAGGAAGTGGGTCTGGCCCACGAAAGCTCATCATCTAATAAACCATCTTGTTAGTCTTTAAAGTGCTACATTGTCCTGCATTTTGTTTTAATTTACATCCCTGTGTGTCTCTGGGTTTGTCTAGGCTACGCGGAAGATTCGAAAGAGAATATGCAAATTCTGCGATAATTTGCAAATCTTCTTCTGATCTCACTTTTGAAAGTGGAGCTTTCGAAAGTGAAAGTAGTCAAGACGTGGCTTTTTCAGCAGCCCCTCCCCCCGTCTTTGAAAAGCTGCTCTTCCTCAAAAATGAGGTTTATGCAGCTTTTTGAAAAAGGGGGGGAGGGTTGCCGAAAAAGCCGCATCCCGACTACTTTCGCTTTCGAATCTTCTGCGTAGTCTAGACATAGCATCTGTCTACAACCTCTGCTCTGCTGAGATGGAGTACAGGGGCAGGGGAACACCATGGCTTCAACATTCCTTACGCCTTCACCCCCCACTCTGCACAGCTAGCAGGAGAATCCTGGAAGCAGCTCTTGGAGCAAGATGGGTGGGGGGGGAAGGACAGCTGCATCTCTACTAATCAGCTGGGCTGGCTAGAGAGAAATGCTTGGTGGACTGGGTCCGGCCCCCTGCATCTGAGTTTGTCCACCTCTGCTTTAGAGAGTCTGCACAGTATTGTATTAGTTTATCTCCAGGTGGTATAAATCTTTCACCAGTTATCATTTGTATTATCATAGTTTCTAGAAGTTCTAGTTATAGACAAGGACCCCACCCTGTACCAAAAATCTCAGTCTAAAACTAAGCTTAGAAATATAGATAAGTGGGACAAAGACAAGGGCACAATGAGATAATACTTGTCATCATGATAGGCAGCAGCTCATCGCACCAACTGATGTACAGTTATTAGATTTTCGTATATATGGTAAAAGATGTATAAGGATGTAAAATGTCAGCCTGCATCTCCAATTAACTACATACCTGCAACTCTGGTGTCCGTATACAACATATATACTTTTATGTGGGCTGCAAAACATTTGTGGATTGTTGATGTAGCTGTAGATCATCCTGCAGTTTACCCTGGGTATGTCTACGCAGCAGAGCAGAAGTCAAATTAAGTTACCCAACTTCAACTACGTCAATTGCGTAGCTGAAGTCAAAATAGCTTAATTCGGCTTTCTGTGCTTTCTTCACAGCAGGACGTCAAAGGAAGAACACTCTTCCTTCGACTTCCCTTACTCCTCGTGAAATGAGGGTTACAGGAGTCAGAATAAGAAGTCCTCCAGCTCGACATTATTTTGAAATAATGGCTTGCTGTGTATACGCGCATTCTGTTGTTTTGAAATAACGTCAGTTAGTAGTAGCTAGTAGTATCAATATCATACCACGAAGGTCACAGATTCAGTGACTTTCCTTGACTTTTGCAGTAGCCAATGTGCTTGCCCTGGGGACCACTTGGGCAATGATCAATCACATCAGCCACCGTTGGGGTAATCTCAGGCACACCCATCTACCGCGCAGGAGGCGTTTGGGAAGGGTTGGGGTGTGGGTTGATGTTTACATGGTTGGGCTTAACTCTACTTGCTGCATCTGCCCATGAGCACCATCCTCACAGCTCCTGATGGTTGCGGTTCCCAGCCAGTAAGAGCTGCAGAACCAGGGCTTATGGCAGAGTGAAGGCAGCATGTGAAGCCTGGAGGTAACAGCTGGAGGTTGCTACTTCCTGTCAGCCCTGCCAAGCCCCTGCTCCTCAAGCATCTGCGATGCCTTCTGAGCTGTCTCCCTCAGCACCCTTGACATCCCCCAGGCCACCCACCCCCTCAGCTGCTCCTCCCCTCCTCAAGTTTTTTGTCAGAGTGTCAGCCGACGGTCAGGGCAGTGTGTGTGTATGTTTCCGAGAAAAGGTTTAACGTCCGTGTCTTTACTGCTAGGACCGGGGTCCCATCGCAGAGGGTGGCCAGCAGGCCAACAGACGCCCCGTTATATAGGAAGAGCTTATTACACCTTAGATTTTAGCTGCTAGAACACAGGGGTTCCTTTGCAGAGGGCAGCCTAGGAAAGGCTGAAAAGGTGCCCCAACGGATCTTGTCACCTGGGAGTGACACAGATCCAAACGCCCAAGCTCTCCCTATGTCTGTCCCTTTATGACCGGCTGAAGTTCTTTTAAATTGTGCTTGGTTCTATTACAGCAACTGAAGGAGTCAGGTTAAAACTTAAACAGTTACAGGTTTATTTGAGGAAGCTTATAAATCATATGGTTGCAATGGCTATTGTTCTGTTTCTTAACTACTAGCAAAATATAGATCTTAAAAATGGTTACAAAGAAGATAAAGATAGAAAAATAGAAATAATGGTACCAAGTAACAGCTTACTCTTTCTATGTGTACACTTAAGACAGAGGACCACATCCAGGTATTATTTGGGGTCGGGAAGGAATTTTCCTCCAGGGTAGATTGGCAGAGGCCCTGGAGGTTTTTCGCCTTACTCTGTAGCATTGGGCACAGATCACAGCTGAAGGACTCTCTGCATGTTGGGTCCTTCAAAGTATTTGAATGCTTCAATATCTTTGATATAGGTGAGAGGATTATTCTAAGAGGGGTGGTTGAGATTCTGTGGCCTGCACTGTGCAGGGGGTCAGACTAGATGATCATAATGGTCCCTTCTGACCTTAAAGTCTATGAGTCTATGAGGTACAATTCTTACCCCCTTCTGTGCCTCTCGACTCCAGCATGTCAGGCCAGGGCCGGTCCCTCAATTCCTAGGAAAGACGAAAATACGAGGTGGGCGTCCCCATAGAACCTCGGGAAGTCAAACACCTAACCCGACCAGCAGGTAGAGGGTAGAATGACACTCAAAGTGAGTGTGTGCTGGACCTATCTTTTATACTCATGGGGTCACGTATTTCTCTTTCTTGTCTGTCATGCCAAATGGGGCTGGTCTGTCTTTTGTGAGACCAGTTCTTACAAGGGAGTTGTGAACTTAATTTACACTTGTAAGAGAGATAACTAAATTGGAATTACTGGGGATTCTTTTCTCAGTGGGAAATTCCTCTTCCAGGGACTGTGTGTGTGTTCGAATCAACATGGGTGCCAGCCTGACACTTCTTGCAGCCTTGAGGCCAGCTTATTGACTTAATCGCTCTCTCTCCACATATCTGTGTTTTCAGCTTCTCAGGATCAGATGAGCCAGCATAGACTATGCTGATTTTACTGCTCCTTCTCTGCCCTGTATGCTTCAGAGAGGCAAATAAGATGGATGTGATGGGGGCGGGCTGTCTGGCTACACAGAGGTACATAGTAAAAGTCATGGACAGGCCTCAAATCCAGAGACTGTTCATTACTTATATTAAAACCACCAGTGACTAAACCGTAGCCTTACACTTAATTTTTCTATGTAATAACAGAGATTAATCTGTCTCCTGCTTTGACTGCCTGCTTTAAATGACCCTCTTATTAATTTTAAGTGAATTTGGGGCTGTTTGAGGAGACCTGCCAATGAACTATTAATTCTGTGAACCCAAACTACCTACATGTCTCTGAGGGAAGCAGTCTTTGAAGCCTTTTTCTAAGGATTTTGCCTTGGGCATTTGTTTCTGCTGTTCTTACTTAGCCATCTCAAATGTCTTTCCCCCCCACCTTCAGTCTCCCTGCTTCCTACTGCTTGATCCATGAGAAGTACATGGTGGAGCTGCAAGTTCTGATACAGCAACAAGACAAAGAAGAATACTGGTAAGTTTGTCCAAAGGGAATAAGTACAGCATGTAATTCCCGTTTATTTGAAAGGCTGGGTTATCTCTTCTTTCTTGTGGCATCATAGCTTGATCGCTATTTATAGTGTTTTGTGTATACCCTTTTAGGGGTTTTCACATTGTTTTTTAAATATGGCAGGTTCCAGTTCCTAAAGGCATAAAATGTAAATAAGGCTATGTCTAGACTGCAAGCCTCTTTCGAAAAAACAAGCCGCTTTTTTTGAAAGACCGCACCCAGGCAGTCTGGATGTTCTCTTTTGAAGAGGCACAGTTTGCATTATGTAGTGCCTTTTTTTCAAAAGAGCACTTTCAAAACAAGGAGTTCTTCCTCGTAAAACGAGGTTTTCCACAGTCAAAAAAACTGCCGCATTCTTTCGATTTACAGGCAGTCCCCGGGTTACGTACAAGATAGGGACCGTAGGTTTGTTCTTAAGTTGAATTTGTATGTAAGTCGGAACTGGCGTCCAGATTCAGCCACTGTTGAAACTGACCAGCAGCGGCTGAATCGGACACGCCTGGGGCAGAGCAGCTGGG